CTACTAGTTTGGGCTAAAAACTGAGTGGCTTGTATGAACCTGACCTTGACTATGATCCCCACTTGATGGTCATCTCTATGTAAGTGTTTTTCACTTGGCCAGCTAGCTTAGCCTTCAGCAGGTTGTATCCGTTGCTAAGATCTGGAGGCAGGGACTTGAATGACCCTGTGAAGCAGAGCAGCTAAGCCAGGAATTGCAGTGTGGGAGCAGGGGACCGATAAAAGAGCTAAGGGACATAGAGGGGCCACTCTCTGTCCCAGGGCTGCTGCTGTGGTGTAGTCTCCTAAATGAGGGCAAAGTGAGGATGGGTGAAGTCAGTCAAGTGATCTGCCTGAGGTCACACAATTAGTGGACAGTAGATTGTCCACATTTAGGGGCATCAACCACTTTAGTATCAGTTAGGGACCTGGTGGGGAAAATAGAGGGAGTTTAATGAAGGGATTATTTAGCAAGGTATGGGCAGGGCTTAAGGAACTGACAAAGGGTGGTGTGGTACTTCAGATTTAATAACTTTGAGGAAGTATTACCATCTCTAAATCTGAAGTGTCAAGAAGAAGGAATAATTACTAGAACCCAGAGAGAGGACCTGTGAAGAGAGGGCTGCCTGACACGACTTGTGACCTTTGGTGGAGACACTAATCCACGGTGATTGGCAGGGAAGGAACTAGGGGGATAAATAATCCTCCCGTCTTCCAACTTCCTGCTGTTACCTCCCTTTGCCTGGGTATGACTAGAGACCAGAGGTCACAGGAGCACCATGGATGCCATATGGATAGGTTCATCATCTGGGGTGCCGGTTAGGGTGAAGGGTGGAGGCTGAATCTGGAGGAGCACATGGAATCTATCTAGCCACCTAAGAAAACAGGGAAGATTGGTTCATAGTAGCCTCCACATTTTTTTCTTCCTTCTTTATTGTCATACCTGGTCCTACATGACTTAGAGATGCTAGAGTTTTACTACTCCCTTTCTATACCCTGAGACCCCCAGCCTAGTCATCAAAATCTAGACACTGATGATTAGGCTGGGGGTCCCAGGGTATAGAAAGGGAGTAGTAAAATTCTAACATCTCTAAGCCATCCTCTCTTTTCTAGACCCTGTTGCTCTATAATGGCTGGAAGTGGAAATCACTATTATTTCTTTGATCAAAATCAATTCTTTTGATTTTCACTTCTAGCCATGATAGAGTAACAGGGTCTAGATTACTTTCCAACCATCAACAATTAAAAAAACTAGACAACATAAATGTATGGATAGCTTCAGATTCTGAACAACAGGCAGTACAGGACCGTGATCCCTGAGATGAAGGAAATAAAGGAGGTGAGCCCTGTGATTGGGGCTATATTTCTGGATGATGCACTAGGGGAAGGAATCCTGAGCAGAGTATGATGGTTTTGCTGAGTTGAACGACAAGAAAAGGAAGATCAAAGAGAAACTTTGGCTGGAAGTTTTGGGGCAGAGGTCTAGAAAAGAGAGGATTCTGTAGAAAAAGCTGCAGGAATCTGCATAAGGGTTCTCTTGAGTACTTGTTTAATACGAAGATATACACACAGAATGAAGCTATATAAGGCTGGGCAAAGAATGACCAGGAGCTGAATAATTCACAAACTGCACATGGGACTGAGAAATGTTCAAATATTGACCAACTTGATCCCCTAGAGCATTGAGAAGACACCACATAAGGGCCCTGCCCAGCCAGTAGAACCAAACTGTGCTGCGTGTGTGCTAAGTCACTTCACATGTCTGATTCTTTGCAACCCTATGGACTGTGGCCTCCAGCCTCCTCTGTTTATGGGATTCTCCAGGCAAGAATACTGGAGTCTGGTTGCCATGTCCTCCTCCAGGTTATCTTCCTGATCGAGGGATTGAATCTGCAACTCCTGCATTGCAAATGGATTCTTTATGGCTGAGCCACTAGCGAAGCCCAGGACTAATCTATCCCTAGAGAAATGAAAAGTTTAGACTCACTCTAACAAAGCTTAAAACAATCTCCTAAGAACCAGTCTTATCCATAAGTAACCTAACTGCCTGCTAAATAAAAATCCAATACTATTTAAAGGAAGGTTAAAAAAAAAAGTAGGCAATCCACAATGTAACTTTAAAAAAAATCCAACATCCAGTTTAAAAAAAAAATCACTAGACTCACCAAATAGAAGGAAAATGGGACTCATAACCAAGAGAAAAATCAGGCAATAGAAACAGACTTGGAAATGACAGAGTTGGTAGGATAAGCAGACAGGCAGTATGTAAAGTGTGCTCAAAGATTTAAAGAAAAACATGAATAGAATGAGGAAAGAAGTGAAGTGTGTGTGTGTGTGCTTGTGTGTGTGTATAACCAAATGGAACTTCTAGCAAGGAAATAGTATGATATCTGAAATTAAAAGTCATTAGATGAAATTTAAAGCAAACTGGACGCTGTGAGGAAAAATAAGTGAAATTGAAAACACAGCACTATGCAATGGTTTCTTAGCTGTGACACCAAAAACACAGGCAACAAAAGAAAAAAATAAATTGGACTTCAAGATTAAAAACATTTGTGTGTCAAAGGATACTATCAAGTGGAAAGACAACTAATGCAATGGGACAAATATTTGCAAAGCACATAGATGATAAATGATTTGTATCCAAAATACACAAAGAACTCTTACAATGCAACAATATAAAGACAAATGTCCCACATTTAAAAAAGCGGCAAAGGATTTAATAGACATTGCTTCAAAGAAAACATACAAATAGCCAATAAAGACATGAAAAATACACAACATGTATAGTCTTTAGGAAAATGCAAATCAAAATCACAGTGGGATATCATTTCATACCTATTAGTATGGTTATAAGAAAAAGACAGACAGTAACAAGTGTTATAAGAATGTAAAGAGATTGGAACCCTCATATAGTACTGGTGAGAATGTAAAATGGTACCACTGCTTTGAAAAACAAATGGACAGTTCCTTTAACAGTTAAACATAGAGTTACCATATGACCCAGCAATTCTACTGCTAGATATGGTCCCAAGAGAACTGAAAATACATCTCCACCCATACTTGTACATGAGTGTCCATAGTAGCACTATTAATATTGGCCAAAAAACAGAAACAGCTCAAATATGCATCAACTGATGAATGAATAAAATGTGATGTATCTATACAATGGAACACTATTCAGCCATAAAAAGGAATGAAATTCTCATACACGCTACAACCTGGATGAACCTGGAAAACATGCTAAATGAAAGAAGCCAGACACAAAAGGTCATATATGGTATAACTCCATTTATAGGAAATTAAAAAATAGGAAAATTCATAGAGTCAGATGGTAGATTACTGGTTGCCAGGGGCTGGAGGAGGGAGGAATGGAGAATGACTGCTAATGAATATGAGATTTCTTTCTAGGGTGATGAAAATATTCTGAACTTAATAGTAGTGATTGTTATAAAACCTTGTCAATATACTAAAAACTACTGAATTATACACTTTAAAATGGTAGACTTTATGGCATGTGGATTAAAAAAATGATCTGATAGAAATATATCAGTACTGATATGTGCCAGTCTTCTCAGGAATGCCTGATTTAACTTGACCTCTCCCCTCAGAAGCTGTAGAATCTGTTTTCTCAAGAAGTCTCGCTCCTAGGACTTTAGATTTCATTCTCAGCTGTGGTTGCTACTGGGCTGCCTCCAAAGCCAAAAGAATCCTGTAACAGGTAGTACAGGAGAACTTGTATTTTAGGGTCTATGCAAACTTCGCTGCAGTGTGAGTTCTTTAAAATGCATTGCCAACTTGCTCCCATAGCTAGGCTTGATTGAAAGAATAAAAGATGATGAAGAGACCTTGTACTGTTTACAAAGAGTATTTTCATATTTATACTCTTTTGAACTTAGGCATTTAAATTTCAATTAAACATCATGACTTGTCACACAGGGGCAGACTCTGAACTCCAGCCCCAATTTCTCTCACCTCCCCAAACCTAGTCTTTCTTAGAACATCTGAAATTCATTTTTAAACAAGTCATGGAGAAAAGGCCTCCCACCCAGCCCTCCAAGGATATTATGCAGGCTTTCTGGCATTCAAGGAACTTCTACTGAGAATCTTCCATTGGTCTGCATTTTGCAGAATGATCTCCAAACTAGTCATGGGAAGCCCTAGAGGTTAAATAGCTTGGTCTAGTAGGCTCACCTCCTTAACTATGATGTTTGTACCTCCTTTTTTCACTCCTGCAGGGTCACATCGCCCATGACATGCATGTAGCTGTGCACACATGTGCACATATGCGCACCTCCAACCCCCCCCCATGCCCCACCCAGCCATCCATACTCCCTCACACCCACCCATCTACCCTCACACCCACCCATCTACCCTCACACACACTGTCCAACCCACACAACACACCCTCCCACCTACCCACATACCCTCCCACCCACCCACCCACACACCCTCTTTAAAGATGGAAATTGAGTCACTTGACTGCCTTCTCTCAGCAGTGCTGTGACCACGGCTAAGTCCCTACTTACATTTCTTTTGTTCTTATTTTATTATGGTAAAAACTATAGAACGTAAAATCTACTGTTTAAACCAGTTTTAAGTAAACGATTCTGTGACATTACCATCCATCTCCAGGACTTTTTCATCTACCCAAACAGAAACTTCCTACCCATTAAACTCAAACTCCCCATTTCTCCCCGACCAGCCTCTGGTGACCACCATTCTGCTTTCTGCCTCTGTGAATTTGACTCCTCCAGGTACCTTATCTAAGTAGTTTCATACAATATCTGCCTTTTACAACTTCTGTTTCTTGATGGCAAAGTGTCACCTGGCTCCATTGCTGGCCCAGAGGATGGGGGTTTGAAGGGGGTAACCAGCCCAGCAAAAGGAATAGGGAGAGACCAGAGCATAGAAACAGCCCGAGTCAGAATCAGGAGGGCTCTCTCACCATGACAACAGCTGGAAATTCTTCTGTAAGTTGGCTGTTACAAACAGGAGCCTTTACAAACCCAATCCCAAACACAGGAATTCTCCCCTTGTTGGTCTGTCTCCTGGGCCCCATCGAGACAGCTGGACTTCCCACACAAGTGAAAATATTCAAGTGCCCGTTCCCAGGTCAGCCTGCTCCCACTTACCTTGAAAGAGAACATAAGCTCCTTCAGAGAAATGAATATTTTTCTGTTTCAAGTTACGTAGAATGCAATGTGAAGGACTTTCAAAATGTCCTTTGCTGTGACTAATTGTGGTTGATGCAATCTATGCCCTGGCAGGTTGGCACGACATGGTATTTACTCAGTCAGGTCTTTGAAATTCACTGCAGAGATATGAGTCTCCTGCATGATCCTGCCACCAGCTTTTGTGAAGATGAATGAACCAATTCCTTATACTGAAGGAGAGAAATTTTCACTGGATTTGAGGTAAAGCCACAGATAGACTGGAAGCAAGGAGATGTGAAAATGAAGGTGAATCTCATGGGCACTGTGATGTCCAGACCAGATCTGGTGGTAGAGGACTGAGTGCATTCTGGGTGGGGGTGCCCAGGCACAAAGCTATGTGAACCTCCACCAAATGAAAAAGCTTAGCTTTCCCCAAATTCTGCTATGAGAACTCCTGCCCAGCGTGGACAGCCAGCTATACAGATAGTGAAAATGAAGTGCAAGTGTTAGTTGCTCAGACATATCTGATTCTTTGCAACCCCATGGACTGTAGCCCACCAGACTCCTCTGCCCATGAAATTCTCCAGGCAAGAGTACTAGAGCCAGTAGCCATTCCCTTCTCCAAGGGGTTTTCCCAACCCAGGGGTTGAACCCAGTTCTCCTGCATTGCAGGCAGATTCTTTACCGTCTGAGCTACCAGGGAAGCCCCTACTTGACTTTTACAAAACACACTAATTTGTTTCTTTTTGGATGGTGCATCATTTCCTCCTAGGAGCCATAAGCCTTAACCAGCTTCAGAAGTCCTCTGGCACAGACGATGCCATCATGAAGGCAGGAAGAGTTCCTCCTATCTCTGCAGAAGACCTGGCCACAGCAAATGAGATTGATCGTGGGTTTCAAGGATTGGAGGGGTAGGAGAAAGATTTAGAGAAGAGGAAAGAGTAATTTTTCCCTGGAGATGTAGGACAATGGTGTTCTTTGCTGAGAAAGATGAGAAAGCAATTTCCCCAAAGGTTCAGAAAACAGGGTTGTTTCACTCATTGTTGGGTATTCAGTATAGACCTGTGAGTGCTGGAAAAATAAGCTAGGTGACCCCTGGCTGCACCGTGGCTACACATCTGAGGTCTCTCTGTTCTGTTCTTAGTCTGCCCAGGTTAGAGGAGGAAGAGCAGAGTTGAGGACAGTGGGTACCTACCTCTGTAGTGATAAAAAGTGTAAGTGTTAGTTGCTCAGTCATGTCCAACTCTTTGTGACCCCATGGACTGTGGCCCGCCAGGCTCCTCTCCTGTGGAATTCTCCAGACAGAAATACTGGAGTGGGTAGCCATTCCCTTCTCCAAGTGATCTTCCCGACTCAGGGATCGAGCGTGGGTCTCCTGCATTGTGGGCAGGTTCTTTACCAAGCCGCTAGGAAAACCCCACCTACCTCCGTAGAGGTCATGTGTACTCGGACACTGGGCAAGTGAGCGTGGGATTCCTTTATTTTCTGGGTAACCAGGAACCAGGAGACTAGGGCTGGGATGTGATTCTTCTGCTGACTAGCATCTAAGACCGGGACACAATTTTATCATGAGGGAATAGGACCCAATTCAAATCCAACAAAAGTTTCTTAAGTATGTCTGGGCAACAAAGTTGGGCAAGCACTGTCCTTTGTCCTGCAGGACCACTCAGCCAGAGAGAGGAGACCCATACCTGTGTTCAGACACAGTTGTAATAGGAAACCCACAGTACCAAGAGGGAGAATGGGCAAGGGGACAGACTGAGTCTGTCTCTGGAATCGTATAGGCTTCTTGGAGGAGGTGGGCTATGAGCTCAGGCATGAATAAGGTTGGATAAAGTGTTGATAGGTGGATATGGAAGCGAAGAGGAGGTGTTTCTGGAAGAAAAACAAGTGAACCAAAAGAAGGACCAGCAAACTGGTGGGGAGAGGGCGGCAAGTTCTGGGAACAGAAAGTAGGCATCCATGAGTAGGGCTCATCACACAGTAGGTCTTCAGTGACTATCAGCTAAGTAAGTGATGATGGAGCAGTAAGGACTGGGCCAGAACAGGGGCAGAGTCTCCCTGTCTGGGGAGCCATAAGCAGTGTGGAGTCCACATGCATTGTTGAAAGGGAGATGGACCGCTATCATTGGCTCTGTGTTCAAGGGCAGGTGGGCCACGAGCAAGGAGCCCAAAGGTCCAAGGAAGACTTGATAATGGCTTGAATTTAGATAACCACATTGGGGTGGGAAGGATATAAAAAAAATAGAGCAAAAGAAAATTCTGCAGACCTTAGGTTGATCAGAAGTATAAGGAGAGGGAGAAGAAGGAGAGAAGGACAGTTTTGAGGATTTTGAGCCTGGGCATTGGGGAGAGTGGAGATTCACAGAGATGGGCAACCTCCAGAAGAGAGGTGGGTACAGAGAGGAAATGACCAGTTTAGTTTTGTGCAGAAAGACTTTGAGATGCTTATGTAGAGATGACTAGCAGGCAGGTGGAAATGTGGACATTTTGGTAGCTAGAGATCTGGAGCTCCTGGACATAATGGTTGAAGATGTGGGTGTAGATGAGATAGACGGGGGTTGGGAAGGATGTGGTGAAGGGAGAGGATGGCTGGGCAGAGAATCAGGTAAAGAGCACCTGGATGGAGAGGAAAGCAGGAGCCTAGCAGGAAGTAACCAGGAGCTTGAAGAATAAATCTCAGTGGTGGGAGGGGCGCCAGGCCATGTGAGGGGGAGGATATGAAGTGGCTCCTGGGCCACTGTTTCGAGGAAGTCCTATGAAATGGCCCCGGACCAGCAGCCGATTGCCAAGGCCTAAGAAGAGGAAGTAGAAGGAGAAGGTGTATAGGACCCTACAGAGAAGTTTGTAATAAAGGAAAGGAGAACAAGCTGAGAGGCAGCAGGGCCAAGGGAAACCATTTTAGGTTAAGGCCATGCTTCTCATCCATGAATGTGCATTCAGATCACAGGAAACCTGTTAATATGCAGCTTATGAACCAGGAATGAGGGCAGGGTCAACATGGCCTGGAAGAGATGGGAATTGATGTGCTATCTTGGACCAGGGAAGTAAGTTAGTTGTGCTGAGGAGGTGGGAGGTCAGCTGCATTCAGACTGAGGGAAGGGTGATGTAACGAGCTACGAGGCGGGGTAAGGAGACTGAGGGAGTCCCTGTGGAGAGGCCTGGACTTTCTCTGTCAGGTGGGCGGTGAGAGATTCTGCAGACAGAAGGTAGAATGGGGCCTGGGGGACTCTGAGGAGAGTGAAAGCCTTGGGACCGTGGTCTGGCTGACTTGCTGGCTAGAGCAGAGCAGGACTCAGGTAAGTGTGTAGCCAGGGTGGAGACTCTGCCCTCTGTGGGCCCTGGGAGCTCAGAGAAAACAGGATGGTGGGCCTGAGGGTGCAGATGAGAGCTTGGTGGAGGGCAAGCTCCTAAAGAGACATGGGGGCTTGTGCAAGCACAAGAGACAGGGTTAGAGGGGAGAGCAGCAGAAAGGAAGATGTGAGAGGGGGAAGTTGTGATCTGAGAGTCACGAGTACAGAAGGTCTCAGAGGTGAGCAGTTGCGGGCAAAGAAGGGGGCCAGTCAGGTCCATGACTGAGATGGAGCTGAGTGGAGGCTGGAGAGATGAGGAGGGGCGAGAGCATAGAGGGCGGGATGAGGGGAAAGGTTCGTCTTGTAGCAGAGTGATGAGCGCTGAGGGAGAGTCAAAGCCCAGCAGCACTGGATGGGGTGGAGCCCAGGCCATAGCCTGTCAAACTCCTGGGTAAGTCCTTCTTCTCCTTTGCAACAGCAGCTGTTTGGAGGCCAGGATGAGGCAGAGGGGCCTGCCCTATTCTCATTCACTCAGTCCCTATTTCCTGAGGCTCCTTGAATGCGGTCTTGGACTGGGACACTGGGGCCTGAGTTTCATGGGTTTGGACGGTGACATGGAGTGGAGGGTGAGAGAGAGGATGCCTCAGTGACTGACCCACTGTCCCACAGCCTGCACTCCGTGGTCACCTAGCCACCTACAGTCGCTCTCCTGGGCCAGGGAAGATTAAAACCCCACTCTGACATCAGTTCCTTAGGCACTGAGCATCCAGCAGGTCCCACTTTCCCAGTCCCTGGGATCTGCATCCCATCCCTCTCAAATTGTGAAGGCCTGTAGTAGAGCCAGTGAGTGTCCCCTGTATATCCTCCACCAAGGAGCTCTGCTGGGACAGGGCGCCGGCACTTCCTGCCTCAGGAGGACCTGCTGGCAGCGTGGCTGGATGCCTGGCTTGTGGGTTGTTCCCCTCAGTTTGATTCTCTTTCTCTCCCTGGTGAGCTTCAGCCTGTGGTTGTTTGCTCTTCCTCAGCGGTTAGGGGAACCAGCGGTGTCTGGGGAGGAAAGAGGAGGGAAGGGAACTCTCAGATGCTGTGCTGGGCCCTCCCAGTGGGTTTCCCGGTGCCTAAGTGGCCTCCATGGGCGCATGTCCACGGCCAACCCGCAGACCCTCAGCCCTTGTCGGACAGCCCTGCGTGACGTCCCTTCCAGGCCCTTGGGGCTACCAAGCTCATAGCACCACTGCCAGAAACCACCATGGGCTCTTTCCCTCCAAATCAGAACTAATATTTCTTTACTCCCTCCACTGAGGCCTGGGGTTTCTTTGCCTGTCCACCTGGCTCATCCTTCCGGTGGAGGTCTTTGTAGGAAAGGGAGGTCCTTTGTAGGAGGTCGGGCACTGGCCTTCGTTTGGCCTGACCTTCCCTGGGTGACCTGCAGCCAATCCTGTGTGGCCAGCCTTGCTCTTCTGCCCCAGGCTCACAGGGAACAGCCTCTGGCCCTTCCCCAAGGTGTTCTCCCTCGTGTCCTTCTGTCCGTCATTGTCCATGTGTTCCTTCTCCCTTCTCTGTGCCCCCTGGTTATATGTCCTCAGGAGGGGAGGAGAGCTCAAAAGAATTTGTGCAGAGACCCTGGGTAGAAGAAGATAAATGGAATTCGCAATAAATCCAGGAGCAAAGTTGTAACTTGACTTAAAAACAAACAAAAGGGCCAGAACTGCACTTAAGCTCAGGAGAAGCTCATCTCGCAGTATAAACAGAAAAGGGCGGACGTGGGCTGCGGAGCCTCGCTCAGGCTGGGACAGTGAGGGAGGGGCCTGGAGCAGCCCCCACTTCCCCTGGAAGGGCTGGGTTGTGGGGGACGGTCTCCACGGCCTCGTAAAGGAGAGAGAAGACGCTAGCCCTGCCTCGCTTGCCACTCATTTTTCCATGACTTATCCTTTTGAAAAGACATTCTCAGGATTGGGCCAGAAGGTTGTTTAGGGGAAATGCTTTCTTAGGCTGCGGTCAGGCAGAGACAAAGCTTGGACCAGTGGAGAGCAAGGTGAAGTGTGGGTGTGAACTCGCAGGCCTCAGCCTGTCCTGGGACTGGAACATCGGGGAGTTTGCCTGGACCTCTCAGCTGGCTCAGAGGACCAGGTGGCACCACACTGGTCTTCCTGCCCTCAGACAGTGGCCAGCTCATCATGACCCTGGAGGGCGTCCCTCTTGCTGGAATCTCTGTGCCTCGCCTAGAAGCGTGAGGCTATAATTGCCACAATTACAGCATCTTGCCTTTATGTATAATTTCAAAGTGCTTCCACACACTCCTTCTCATCTGAAGTGGAGCAGATAGCATCAGTATTTTATGGGCAGGAAAACTGACAGATAGGGAAAGAGATCTATCAAAGGTCACACAGAAAGTCAGCAGTTCACCTAGGTCAGTGCAGTGGAAAAGGTGGGTCCTGAGGTATCATACCCACTCAGTTAGTAACAAACTGTGTGATCTTGGGTGAGTGACTTAATCTTTCTGGGTGCAGGCTTTCCTCTGTAAGATGCAAATCCCTCCGAATTTTAAACAGATCAGCTGCTGTTCCATCTAACTCTGTGGCTGGGCTTTTCAAAGTCAGGAAACTCAGGGGAAATGAATAATGTGTCAAGGAGTATAAACATGTCACATCTTTCTGGAGCCTCATTTCTACACTTGGCTATTTCTGGAGGGGAAGAAAAGGAACACACCAATGTAAAAAAAAATTGTGAAACAGGATGGCCAGACTATAGGAGAGGATGCAAAATTTAAACTTTACAACAGGAAACATCAAGGACATTCTGT